CAGTTCCTAAAAAGGTCTTATTCTTACAAATACAGTTCCTCGGGGACAACATCAGCGAGATACTTACACAACGCCTTAGAAATGCGGTAAAAGGAGCATTCTATGCTGCTGAATTGTGCTGTGTCTTCAAAACCACTCCTCTTGTGCGTTAGGGAGTAAAAGACAAACTGCCTAATTTCGCTTCTTCCATGTGTATCTACCAATTTAACTGCTCCTGTGGAGCCAGTTACATAGGCCATACAATTAGGCATGTTTCTCGTCGAATTTCCGAACATCACCCTGCGTGGTTAAATAAAGGACAAACAAAATCTATTCGTAGCGCTATTTTATCTCATCTTGTGGATACAAAACACAAGATTGATGTCAACCAGGCTTTCAGCGTCATTTACCGCATACCAACAAATCTCAATTTCTCATTAAAAGTTCGACTGTGGGGATCCATATTAATAAACCTAATTTATGCGTCCAAAAGAAGTTAGTTCAGACATTATCATTACCTTGGCCATCTAGGTTTGAATGATCATGAATTTTTGTGGAATTTTCCTAATTTTAGTTGATATTCTATTTGCTATTATATCTTTATTATTATTAGAATTTAAGCATCTTTAATGAACTGTAATTCCATTGATCTCATTTAACGAATCAATATTATTTAAAAAGACGAATATTGTTATTGACTACTATTCTAGAATATTCTATGTATATAAACATATATGTAATTAGATAAAGCAATAAGAAGACGCAATTTGGCTGAATCGTGTAATTTATTTGCGCAACACATTTCGAACAATCTGATCACACACAGACTTGTCATAGGAATATATATGAAATTAATAAAGAGGTCCTTTTAACTCAACCTAAGTCTATTTTCTTCACCTCTTACCTCTTTATTAATTTCATATATATTCCTATGACAAGTCCGTGTGTGATCAGATTGTTCGAAATGTGTTACGCAAATACATTGCACGATTCAGACAAGTTATTTCTTCTTATTGCTTTATCTATATATGTAATTGTAGAGCCAGAAGATGAAATTATCGAAAAGGATATTCTTTGCTCAATTATTTTGTGTTTTAAAGATAAAATCAATAATCACCAAGTATACAGAAATCTAAGTGAACCGCCACATTGTATTATACAAATAAACAATTATGTTGACAGAATTTTGATGAATGCATAAATTGGACACAGAACAAACGGTTAGAATGTCAACTCTGATAATGCATATACATATGCATATTAAAAGAATGCTGGTAATCTGATCTTAATCTTCAATCTGTGGGTCAGTTCAATTTTTATTCATTGAAATCTGATAAAATTCTCTTAAAATGGTTGTTTCTAGTGAATTTGTTTAAATAAACCCCTGTTATTACACTGCTAATATCCAATTCATGTCTAAAATTGTAATGTGTCATTGAACAAAAGATACATGACAAGAATGAATAATCCTCTAAGCTAAATTAATCTGGTATTTGAGTTTATCACTTTCACATTACATTACACTATTTTGTGACTTTGTAGTGCGCCTTGAATGTTTTGAGCTTTTGTTTTAACGCATACATCTACGATGGCATTACGCCATCTTTTTCTTGCTTGTGTGCGCTTCCACGCTGTGCTGGTAATCAAGCGCATTTCTCAGAGTTCGTAGCTCAGCCATACTAGCCAGATAAATCCTAAAATCTCCCTCCTTAATAAATTTACCTTTGTATTCTGCTTAAATATATTTACTCAGTAAAGCATCATGATAAATAACTTAGTCTTTTGATTTTTTCTCTGGTTATCGGTTGCGTACAAGTTAGGTAGTGTACCGATTAAGAGATAGTTAGACTCATTACGTTAAGTAAGGCTGGTATGGTGTGATCACTATAGTAGTCACTAAAACTATTTGCCCTTAAAACTTAGACAAAATCCACTAAACTAAGTTAATATTATATAATAATTTGAATATTTTGTCTATAGTTGTATTACATCGTTGTTCATCTTAATCGACTGTATTGATCAATGTCTGTCAGTGCATGAGTTCTTTGGACTAATGCTGTGATACTACTGTCTTCAAATTTAAGTAGTCGAATTTGAAATATTTTCTTCACAGTCATCTGAATAATATCTTTGCATTACTGCAGCTAATAGTGCAATCCTTCGTAAATGTAGAATTCGGCTTGCACTGACGCTGAATGGCTGAGCGATAACCTCTCTAAATACGTCACCGGATAACGTGGGCCCGAATCACTGAAGGGATATAAGTTCAATAAAGGTCGCAAACACACCTTGCCGACGAATACCAGTCAGCATAAATTTTGACGCACGAATTCTGCTTGATGAATTTGAACAAAGCAATATCATGATCAGATGGCCAGAAAAGATCAGCAACAGGGATCTTTGGGAACGAACCAACCAGGAACCGATTGTGAAAAAAATAGGTAAGAAGAAATGGAGATGGATTGGCCATACTCTGAGGAAACCATCAAGTGACATCACTAGACAAGCCATTGCTCGACTGGAACCCGAAAGGGAAGCGGCGAGTTGGTCGTCAGTGCAATGGTGACTTGGAGGAGGTCATGTGAAGAGGAGATGAAAGCGTGTGGGCAGACTTGGAGCCAGGTGAAGACTCTGGCAGAGAACAGAACGCAATGGAGACGCACGGCTGAAGCCCTATGTTCCTGTAGGAATTAAAGGATACAATAATAATAATAATAATAATAATAATAATAATAATATCAAGATTACTTAAGTCAGTAGAAAACTGCTAATAAACAAATGAGTTGTGAACAGCTGTTGTGAGTCAAGCTCATTTGGTCTGATATCAGAAATACGAGGCATAAAGTTTAATAAAGGATGACGCAACCAAGGTAAGAGTGGAGAGGAATCGACAATAACATCCAATAAGTTGAGGCTAAAAGACGTGTTACCAAGGTAGAGAAAGACTTTCTGAACACAACTTTGATAGCCATGGTTTCTGTGAACTGTAAAAGACTTGAGCTTGCTTGTTTGCTAATTATTTTGAAGGAATTCAAGATGTCTACTTGATGTCCTGTGTCAGTCAGATTCTGCTACCCTCTCTCCCCACCCTTTTGTTTTCTTCGTGAAACTACCACATTTAAAGTGAGAAGAGAAGCAGAAAGAAAATAAGAAAGTAAATAATTAAATTTCTACTGGTTATGAACTTTGATCTATTATTTTAAAATGTACCATTGATTAAGGCCGTTGATATTCTTTGCTACTATATATCTTCTAGTTGTTTTTCATCCCCTTTTCATTTAACTTATTTGAAAGATTTATTACTATTATGTACTGACAACGTCCATTTCACGTTTGAAAGTGAGCACTTTCGACTACCGGATGGTGTTGCTATGGTGAGTCCATTAGGACCTTTGTTAGCGGACGTTTACATGTCTTTTGTGGGAGATAAATAGATGATATCATTTTTATATGTGATGGTCATGAAGATGTGAGTCATCTATTAGTTAAACTTAACTCATATAAAGTCTAAAATGCGAGGAAGAAAGTTGCAACCAGCTTGCATTTTTAGACGTACTTCTGAGTCGAAGAGATTATGGTTTACTAAGACGATCCATTCAGAGAAAGCCTACTTGGACAAGGCAATACCTTAATTTGCACACCTTCTGTCCACTACAGTATGAGAGAGACTTGGTGAAATGCTTATTTAAGAGAATTCAGCGTATTTGTACGGCTGATGTTATAGAGAAAGAAAACGAAATATTGATGAATACTCTTGTTGAAAACGGATATTCTTTAAAATTTCTAAACACGTATAGAAGTCAATTAGTATTTAAACCTACAATCTATGCTGCCCCTAAGAAAAACGTTTTCCTCAAATTACCATACAACGGTGAAATAAACAGCAGAATTTTGAGACAAAGGTTAAATTCTGTCATCCGTAGGACCTATTATGCAGCCAGGCTTGTAATTATCGAAAAAGCCAAAAAATATGCTCAACTGCAAACCTCAAAAGTGCACAAGTGATTATGTCACATCCCACACTATTTACTATTTTGTGTGTGTGTGTGGACATACATATATAGGGAGGAGTAATTGTGCATTGCATGTGAGGGTGGGAGAGCATACCCTGAAATGGTTAGAAAGACAAAGGAATCGTGGAAAATCAATAGACGCAGGTGTCAGACTACCTACTTCGTCTATAGCTAAACACCTAATCTAAATGAACCATAAGACAGATGTTAACACAGCCTTTAAGGTTTTCTATTATTATTATTATTATTATTATTATTATTATTATTATTATTATTATTATTTCCTTTAGTTCCTAGAGGAACATAGGGCTTCAGCCATGCGTCTCCATTGCGTTCGGTTCTCTGCTAGAGTTTTCACCTGGCTCCAGGTCTGCCCACATGCTTTCATCTCCTCTTCACATGACCTCCTCCAAGTCACCCTTGGACGACCAACTCGTCGCTTCCCTTTCGGGTTCCAGTCGAGCAATGGCTTGTCTAGTGATGTCACTTGCTGGTTTCCTCAGAGTGTGGCCAATCCATCTCCATTTCTTCCTGCCTATTTGTTCTACAATCGGTTCCTGGTTGGTTCGCTCCCAGAGATCTTTGTTGCTGATCCTTTCCGGTTTTCTATAAAAATTGTCAATGGCGCTTACTGAAATACTTTGTTTAATTTAATTGCCCTTTATTTTTTCATATGTATTCACTTGACAAGTAAATGTATGATCAGATTGTTCGAAATATATAGCGCAAATATATCACATTTTTCAGATGATCTCCGTCTTCTAATAAAACTACCCAAATTTATAAAAGGGACTAATTGTTTTAAATTATGTTGACACTATCAGTGTGTACCTCAGTGACACCAGCAATATAATTTCAGAACTTTTTTTACCAACAGAGAGTTTGCACTATGCACGGGTAGTTCCGTTCAAGTTTCGATAACTGAGAATAGGTAGTTTCATCATAAATGAGAGTGTTTGGTTTCAGTATGCGTGAACTGTATGAGGAATTTTTAATCAATACCCACAAATGCATGTATTTTCAGTATCTGTTCATAAATCAGTCAGAAAGGATAATTCAAAACCTAATAGGTCAAGTCTATTACGTTTAATTGAGTATCATATATACTCGGAGTTGAATATTATTAAGACATTATCTGTCCTTGCCAGTAATATGATACATTTGAAAAATGATCTTCATTTACGTTGCTATATGAAACTCCAAACTTATTTACATTACACGCTAAGGAAAGTAAGAGATATGGAAAATAAAACATTGCACAAATCTTTACTTCATGATGACATTAGTGATATTTTCCCACATAAACCAGATTTATATGTCCCGAATTTATCTAATTTCACACTAACAAAATCATAAATAGAGATGTTATCGTTGAATTTCAAATCTTGTGCACCGATGGGGAAAATCGATCAAAGTGATGTATACAGTCAATTTGAAAATCTGTTCAATCACAAGTAAAAAGCTTAAAAGCGTCTTCTAGTGATACTGTTGTATGGTTAAAATGGAAAATGGTGGGTATTTAACACTAATATAGGATAATGCCGACTAACCATATGAATAGTATATCAAAGGAGCACCGGAAATCATAGTTACCGTCGAAAAGTAACATGACATCATGATAGTGCATCCTGATAAAGGGTAGTGTGTGGTTATCATGGATACGAAGGACTGCTTGAGTAAAATGAAAGCAATACTATCAAATGAGATGAAATCTCAGGTCTAAAGCAGAGGTAAAGATCGTATTGAGACAATAGAAAAAGTTATAGGTGAGCATCTAAGAAAGTTATTGTAAAATAAATACGTCAGTAATGAGACTTGCAATGGAATAAAACCGACTGGATTTCATGTATCAAAGATATATGGTCAGGTTAAGGTAGACGAATAGGAAAACCTGCTTAAATCAGTGCTGTCTATGGTAAATTCTCCATATCAAAAATTAGCACAGTGGTTATGCAAGATGTTGAATCCGGTATCAGAGACTGTTTCTATAAAGGGGAAGGTTTAGATGGTTGGAGGCAATCGACAGGAAGCCTTGGACCTAGGTTTCGTTCTAGTTGGCACTCGTCAGTAAGGCGTATCTGCAACCTTGAAGGAACTCATCACACTAGTTACTAGTGTCCAATAAGAGGAAGGCTTATTTAAAATCACCTTTGAAGGGAGATAACGTTACTCCATTGGTGAAACGTCGCTTGGAGAATGAAAACAGACGAACCTGTTATACAGCTGATGCTTTGCTCATAAATACAACAAAGAGGATAGTGCATGCAACAAACACAAATAAGACATCGATCCTCGTCACATCAAAATGTTTATATCTATTTATATGTCCTTGTGTAAGCCAATACACTGGGCGTACGGAAAGAAGTCTATCTGCTCACATTGCCGAACACTGCCCCAAATGGCTTTCTAGTAATCATGAAGGCATCCCAAGAAGCTCAGTCACGCGAAATTTATCAGATTGTGATCATGTAGCGACGTTGGGTAAAAGCCTTATAGTGATTATCACGCATGGTAGTAAAAAAGTTGTTGATTTTGCTGAAGCCTACAAAATCAGATTAAAGACACCGGATCTTTTTATACAAAAGGAGACAGTGGTTAGCTTGAATCTACCTTGGTAGCATACTTTTATTTTACCTTTATAACTTTCTTTTCCTTCCCTCTTCTCTTTACAATGTGCAATGTATTTGCACAGCACATTTAGTACCATCTAATTACACACGAACTTATGCTTCGACAATCTGACTACCCCCGATCTACTTGTGTGACCTATGTAGTTGACTTAACTCACAGTCTTTGCAAGTTCTTTTGTAAATTATATTACTTTGTATAATTAGGACAACTGATAGAGTCCTTTAGCCTACAGAGCTTGTCCCTGAGTGAGTTTGTAGGTTTAAATGCCACCCTAATTCCTGCTTTACTGAGAATCCTATGTAGAGTTCCAGATGCTCCCTCCTTATATGGTAAAACTGTGGCATACCTTATATTCTCTCTTATTTATGTTATCATTATTAGTTCCAGCATCATTTTTATTTTACTTTTGACCCTTTTTGATATTCCTAATGAATTTTATAGGATAGTAATTCAACACCAGTGACTCTTCTATCTGTTTCATTTCATCGTTTAAGTTTTTTGTTGTACTGCTTTGTGCTATTGCTCAGTTTGTTTGACACTCAACTAAGCCTGCCTTCAAAGACAGATAAACGGATGAGGTGAACTGAAGTCTAAATATCTATTAGAATGCGTTGGCTTTTTATTAACGCTTGTGTACAGTTTAGATTCTTATATTCTTTTTATTTTACAATCTGATATGGTTAATTATCCTTGTTCATTTTTCTGATTGAAATGTGAATTTTATTTCCTTTACTAGTGAGTTTATATGTGTCAAGAAGCTAGAGATATGCTGTGTTTTTAACAGCAGCCGAACACACACGGACTTGTCATAGCAATATATATGAAAATAATAAGGAGTTATTATGAGTTTCACTGCTACTTATTTTATTTTTATATTTTACATTTACAGCTTGATGCCACACCGTATTTATTGGTACAGGTATGGAATTTTCAGCATGGATATCGGTAGCCCAAATTTCGCAGGCCGACCATAGATATCGGGTGTGCGTCGGCAGGTGATCGAACCTCGGATCATGTGCATGGTCGGCGAGATTCCTAACCACTGTGCCACCGACGCACAGATATTAAAGTAGATTGAGCAGTAATCGAGATACAAACTTCATTCTAGAACAGCAAATAACAACAAATGGTATGCAGAAGTGAACACTGACATTTTAATCTTTGTGGTATTTCGTATATTCTCTTATTCATTATCCCTTACTTGATATATGATCTCATCATCAAGTTCCACTTTAAAGTCATATTTTGTTTGAGAAATGAGTCATATGTGATATGATAATATAACAGCTGGTCAAAGGCAAAAAGTTATACAAGCTGACAAATCAATTTAAGCTCATGATGGAATCCTCCAAGCAATCAAACAAAATCCCTACAAAAACCAACACTTGACAATTTAAATTTCACCAAATGTAACTAAGTTCGTAATTAATTGTCATTTGCTTTGCCTACTTATAAATTGTAAGTAGCTAAAATGTTTTTAAAACATTTTGACGGTTACTAGATAACTGAGTACTGTTTGCGATAATTATCCATAAACTTTTGCTTAATATAGGGAGACTTTTACTGAATTTCCACTACAAAACCCCTGGTTTTCAACTTCTCACATTTAACGATGTACTGACATCGTATACAAATGTCTTCATTCACGGATTTCGAATCGGAACTCTGAGAAATACATTTGGCAAGAATTCTGTAGTATATGATAGCACCCAGCATAAAATAGTATATCGTCCTTTCTCACGAATCGTGTGATTTACCTTGTGATGCAGTTACTATGTGGATCTATCATTTCTCACGCATATTGTGATTTAGTGTGTAGTCAATTCATCGCCTTTTGTCTCACCTTGGTCTTTGTTGGATCGTCAACCAATCAGGATAGACATTTCCGGTCAATAAGAACAATCAATTCTAACGGCTGTGAGCCAACTTTATTGTGATAAAGAAATGTATAAATATGATGTTTGTTTCCTAATAAATGTACAATACAATATCTCGCAATCACAGGTCAGCCTTAGTCTTTTGATATTTACGTGGCTCAGTGAGTCGGAAAGTACAACAGACTAATAAGCATATTAGCGTACCAGTCGAGTTCATTACCGCTTTATAGTAATTAGCAGTTGCAGACATAACAAAATGGATATGGGTTAATTCATTTCAGTGCAGTTATTATTACTGTTTCCTTTAATTCCTAGAGGAACATGGGGCTTCAGCCGCCCGTCTTGATTGCATTCGATTCTCCACCAACGTTTCAACCTGGCTCAACATCTGCCCACATGCTTTCATCTCCTCTTCCCACCACCTCCTCCATGTCACCCTCACAATGATGACCAACTGACTAACCACTTATCATTCGGTATCCACTCGAGAGAGAGAGTTTGGCGTGTGTTGTCACTCACTTGATAATTTGTTTTCTCAGAGAATGGCCAATTCACCTCGTTTTCTTCCTGCGTATTAGTTGCACAATCCGTTCCTGCTGGGTCAGTTGGCTCATTGACAGAGATACATCCTTGTTGGTGATCTTTTCTGGCCGGCCATCTGATCTCGAGTAGTATTTAGTGAAGGCAGCTGTTGATGAGGGTGTGTAGTTTGTTCGAAGTGCCGTTCGTGATGCGGCGTGGTGCCAAGTCTCTGATCAGTATAGTAAGTATCACTGATTTCACATTGGAGTTGAGAATTTGGATCTTATTTTTCATGCTGGGCGCTGTTGATCTCCACACAGACTTGAGAGCAATGAAAGTTTGCCTTGTCTTCCCTATCTTCGCTTTCATATCCTAATTAATTGCATCCGCCTGTAGTTGAAACGATGCTTCCCAGGTGTGGTAGGTGCAGGAGTTTGCTTCTTTCAGATTTCTCCCTTTTATGTTGATTGTCGTCTGTTGTTGTTGCTGTTTGGCCAAGAGTCTTCATCCCCTCTGTTTTCTCTATGTTCACCTGAAGTCCTATCTTTAAGCAGTGTTTGCGTATCCGATATGGATACAATGTGACAACTGTGTGAAAATATTTCTTCAAGTCAAATCAAATCACTTAATGTTAAATTTATTAACCAATAAGCCTCAAAAACCCATTGAGTAGTTATTTATTTCCACAAGCGAATAAAATTTCAGATAATAAACCGGAAGTATAACCAAAAGTACGCACTCAAATGAAGAAGCAATCCAAATAAAGGACACAAGAGTTTTAGGCTATACACACAGGTACCGTTCATGGTAAAATAAGGCACCTGTTAGATTAGCACACTCTGAAGGACATATTTGATACAAGACACTATATTACTTCCCCTTGACAATATTTTCTCAGCAAATAGTATATATGTGTGAGTTTATAATGCTTTCATTTATTTTCACACTTGTTATTTTGTGATATTGATTAAACTTGCTCACTTTTTCGTTGACTGAGGCGAATTAACATGTACAGAAGTTTATCTTTATTTAAATATCAACTTAGTGTCCCACAAACATTCACGTTATTCTGTATTGCTCTAGAAACCATGTTTGCAGACTTCTTTTTTCCAAAATTTAATAACCAGCAAGGAGGGAATACTTACATTATAAGATCTAATTGTGAGATTTCTAAGGCAACGGAAGTTATAAAATATTGTCGTCAGACAGATATTTTTAGATGCTTTTTGATTGACACCAACTCCTAATGTCTGCAAAGCAAACTGTTATTTGAAATTTAAAATTGTTACGAAAAAAAACTCCTGGTCTTTGTCTAACCTTCAGTTG